GTAATTTCTACCAAATATATTACACTATTACGTCATAACCCATTTATTCCTCGTGTACCCGTTCAATTCAGTAATGACGTCATCAACAATATCCCAGGGAAAAATATGAAACGTCATCACTGGTTGCCTCTAGTAACGTGTGAGACGGCCGTGTGAGACGGGAAAACTCACACGGTAATCAACCAATCAGATTACTGGAATTTAACAGAGCATGTGATAATATCAGTTATCACACGTTTCAGCGTGTGATACGGGAAATCTTCCACGAAAGTAAAATTGTATCACCACGAAAGCGAAGCTTGAAACGTGTGATAACAATTTTATCACAGACATTGTACAATTCCAGTAATTTCATTAGGAGTGTGATGACGATTTTATCACATACTCTGTGAAATTCCAGTAATTTGATTGGGCAATAGGTATGTGGCTACTTCTCATTACATGAAAAAGAAGATGAAACGTGTGATAACAATTTTATCACAGACATTGTACGAAAGGTAATACTGTATCATCCACGAAAGCGAAGCATTGTTACCCGAGTGGAATATTTCCTGTATCACATAAGCTGAAACGTGTGATGACGATTTTATCACATGTCTAGGAATTTTGAAGCATTTTGATTTGGTCAGTTCAGTTATGATTGTGTTCAGTACTTCTGGTAACTATTATAATTTTTGATTTCGCTTTGAAACAATATGACGTCATACCGTTGTATTCGTACTTGTTTGTGAAATAGTATGACGTCATATTGTTTTCCTTAGCTAGAAGTGATATAATCAGTGACGTCACATCGTTGCTATTGATCATCACTGGTTGCCTCTAGTAACGTGTGAGACGGCCGTGTGAGACGGGAAAACTCACACGGTAATCAACCAATCAGATTACTGGAATTTTACAGAGCATGTGATAATATCAGTTATCACACGTTTCAGCGTGTGATACGGGAAATCTTCCACGAAAGTAAAATTGTATCACCACGAAAGCGAAGAATTTTACAGAGCATGTGATAATGCTTGTTTTAAGTGCAGCTTGAATTACAATGTTACAGGATAAAAGGTTAAGTTAACTAGATAGTTAGAGATCATTCAGATATTTGATGCAGGATTTGAGAGTTTACATTCAGACATAGTTTTATAACTAATCCCAAATAATTTATTTGCAGACTCAGAAACTGATCCAATGTGCCAACTTAGACTTATATTTGATATCATTGAAAATGTTTCAAAAGTTTTTTCTCCACACATTTTTATTAACAAATACTACAAAATGTAATTAGGCCATAAGAAGTAGATTCTTTGTTTTGCGTCCCCTTGCTTGCATGATTTTGAGTAAATCAGAAAAAGCAAACACATCTAAATAGCAATCACAAAGTCTGGAAGTACCATCGCATTTCGTTCAATCAGAATCAGACAAAATGGAGGATAATTTGATGTGCATCAAAATGGACAGTGTTTTTGATTACTTTGGCATACATAATGTATTTTCTTATTTTTACCCTTGAAATAGCTATATGTTTAAATATACTGTATAGAATGTATTAGATACATAGAAATTGGTATGTCATGCCCTTTTATGCCCTTGAAATGTATACATTTCTCAGCAAACAAGTTTGTGTTTTTTCTTGAGTTTGTGTTTGTTTTCCTTGTATCCTTGCATGATTTGGATTTTGCGAGGACACAAAACAAAGAATCTACTTCTTATGGCCTTATAGATGTTAGATATCTTGTACTTTCAGAAGAAATACTAAGAAGAAAGTAGATTAACTAATTCACATGTAATGTATGGCCCTGTAGTGACCCTTGACCAATTAGTCATTTTCCAGTTGTATAACAGTTGGAAAAGATATATCTTTGATGTCTTTAAATAGATAAAAATTTCATCATGACCTATGGCCCAAAAAATTTTTAAAATAAAAATAATTTTTTCAAAGAATCAAAGAAAAGGGTGAAAAATCTAGAGAATCCCCATACCTTCTATGTTATCATTTCCTGAATTTTTATCATATGACTGCCATCTATAAATGGAATTAGCTAAGGCTAAAAGGGCTTATTCACGTCACCATACTAGTCAATGGGCAAAAGGGCAAACGCCTGACTTTTTATCTCGAGTTATGGATTTATGTGGCCTCACTGGCCTATCTGAGGTTCTAAAGCTATGTCTAAGCTACATCTTGACACTAAACTCAATAGGGGCCAATCATCTACTTTTCGAAATAATTGGTCAATTGTGACACTACCCCCTCTCTCTGCAGACACAAATTGAAATTCACAAAAATGAAGGCAAAATTAATACGCCACTTGACTCGAAATTTTCCTTCAGATAACCCAAATAAACGCATTTTCAGAAGAAATGGCATGTTGCCATTGCAAAAAGATTACAACTGTGCCTACATCCTAGCTTACTGACTCAAGGGCGTTACAATACCCGGGAATTTATCGGTTCGTCCAGTACTTGTTTGTGATAGCGCCCTCTGTAGGTCACTGTGCTTATAGCCTACAGTAATACGGGGTAGGATATCGGGAATTCGGTCAGTTTCTATCCGTCGATTTCGCTATGAATTGAAGCAAGTGTGACCACTTTATCCACTTAAACAATTTGATAATTGATTAAATCTTTAAACAAAATCGATAAACACGTTATACACTTCCTATCTCCTTAGAAATTAGCATGTATTTATGGATTGTGTTTTCGAACAAGGCTCGACCCACCCCAATAGGGAAATCCTTATGCTAATTAGTATGACGTCATATTTTCCTGGGGAATCCTAGATTTCAAAGCCTCAGTCTGTTATTGTGTCAAATGTAAACGCTCTTGGGACGCTCTTTTGCAGACAGAAAATTGACAGATTAGCTTTTAACTTTCAGCTTTGATGTTAAAATATTCTGTATTTCTACCGGACTTCTTGCTGAATATCATATAATGTTATAACTTGATTTGGACCATTGCCTGATTGATCATTCTGAAATTTTGATTGTGATTCATGATTGATTGGCAAGAAAAAAGAATTCCTATTGTTTTCCAGCGAAGTCAAAATGTTACAGCATGAGTTATAATGTCGAGTTTGCATCATGTTAAATTCTGCTAGTGATTAGAAGTCCATGCACAAGCATACACATAAGAGACAAACACACCCAGGCTCCAGGCCGTGGATGGAAATATAAAACTATTTAAGGCACAAACTGGTATTAATAGACCGATATGTAGTGTCTGCCATGTATTGAAGGTAAACCAATCTGTATTATTAATGTTTCTTCTATCAATACATGGATTGTGCAATAGAAAAGCAATGGCACAATCAAAAATGTGCATATCAATCGTGAATATCTCTCGGTTCAAAGCTTATTTCCAACAGAATCGTGTCAAAATATGTGTCTGAGTAACAGTTATACATTATAAGATCGCAAACTCTTACCAATTATCAGCCGAATGGCTCATTTTCAACGAAATGTCCTTAAGACAACAGCCCTGGGTCGCGCCTGAGACCAAAAACTACTTCAAATAGCCCTCCCCTAATTATATTGGATAATCACATTTATGCGTGCGCGCGCAGCTCATCCAATGAACGAAACGCCACTTCCCGCTGAAATCACCGGGTATTGATCTTTCCCTTGACTGACTCGTCATGATCACAATTGTGTTGGGACTACATTTATTTTTGAATACTACTTTTTTCTATTCAGCGGAAGTGACGTATTAGGGCATTTTTGCCGATCAATGGTTCGAGGTCTCCCGCAAAGTAGTCGCTACGCTCCTACTTTGCGCTGCCTTCGGCAGAGGAGACCTCGAAAAAAATTCAAACTTTTTCCAAATTTGTTTTCAATTTTTTCCAAAAATATCAAAAAAAATTTCCAAATTTTTTTTTCAACGTTTTTTCACAATTTTTTTACATAATTTTTTTCCACAATTTTTTCAAATTTTTATTTTCAATTTTTTTTCCCGAATTTATTTTTAAACCTTTTTTGAGCGGGACATACGATTTATATGTCCCGGAACTCCGTTGGAGCGGGACATACGAAAAATATTTGCCCGGATATGGAATATATTCCCGGTTGATATGTCCCTGAAACCTCATCAGGTATGGAATACATAGAGATTATCCTATATGAGGTTCAGGATATTGGGATTATCCCGAGGCCAATATAATATATTTGCCCGAGGGCCGCAGGTCCCGAGGGAAAATATATTATATTGGCCAAGGGATAATCCCAATATCCCGAACCGACTATAGGATAATATGTTTATCCCATACCAATCTTGGTCATCTGGTTCACATTGTTCAATCGTGGAAATATTTTAGAATATTCATGTCCAGTTTTGTTTTTCCTGGCCGTCGGCGGATTTTCCTGTTCTCTCAAATATTCCCAGATTTATTTTCTCGAATTTTTGATTGATTAAGTGGATACTCCTTCCCTTTTTTTAAACCATCAAACAGATCCCGATTGTCTATGTTTTCTCCATTGTCTTTAAAAGTCATTACGCGAACGTTACAAATTATGAACAAATATGCGAGCGGCGATTATGACGTAGCGGGCAGATATACTATATCTGCCCGCTCTGAGCGGGACGTAAAGCTATATCTGCCCGCTGATGAAAATATAAGTTTTTACAAACCGGCTTTATGTACCTATAACACGTTCAAGTATGGGATAAATAGGGGTTATGCACTGGGAGGTTTTGGATACAAGGAATATCCCGAGGGATATACAACTTTTTTTATCCTAGGGCTTCTAGGGTTTCTAGTCTATAATACCTATCAAACTGACACACATAATATTCACCCTGTCACTCAGGTAAACATTTACGTCGCCAAAGTACTCTCCTCATTGAATGACTGCAATACTAAATGTTGAGCTAACTTCACTTATCATCTTTCAAGATCTTGTAGCTATGACAATACTACAATATCTCTACGAAAATAAAAACGATATAGGGTGAGTATAAACTTATAACGTGATTCAAACCTGGAGACAACAAAGTGTCCGGGCGAGGTTTGGAGAAAACTTGAACTTCTCAATGCCACGCCCCCTATCTTTAAAAATGGCGGCAGTTTTAAATCGAATGTTTCCTGTCTCTTCAAAAGACATGAAATCAGAGCAAGATATTCGTGACCAGCTTCCCGAAAGTAGTGCTATTGTTGTATTAGGTGACAGAGATTGGTAAGATGGCTCGTCAATTTGTGTTATTGTGCTAAACTCCAGCAAAAACCTTTAATCTTTTATATTTTTTCAATTTTGAATTTGAATTTCATTTTTAAGGTACAGCTGGAAAGTAACATTTTGGTAAAAAATTGCTATACCAGCACATGTTATTTTCTGGTACAAGATAAAGTATGAAGGCATGTGTCAATTGCATTGCTTTTTTCAGGAAAGTATCATTACATTGTCTTCTTTTAGAATATCTGGTAGGAGTTCAATGGGAACTCCAGGAAATTCTGATATTTCACATTTTCTATTTTTCTAAATTTTCTTTCAAAGTTTCCTGACAACACAGGAGCTACCACTGACCTGTTTCCAGGTTCACTAAAAGTAGACAGTGTAATGATACTTTCCTGAAAAAAGCAAGGAAATTGACTCATGCCTTCATACTTTATTTTGTACCAGAAAATAACATGTGCAGGTATAGCAATTTTTTACCAAAATGTTACTTTCCAGCTGTACCTTAACTTACTGTAGACTTGGGCAGTGCTCTAGGATGGATGGTGCTGACCTTGGCCTTGGGATGTATGAAAACAAGGTGTCGATTAGTTCAACAAGTTAAACCTAGTCTGGGCCTTATTTCTTATCTGACATATCTTGTCGCCTGCCCTAAGTTTGACGTCCGTGCCTATTCGGCCATTGATGCAAAAAATTAATGATGGCCTTTGGCCGCGCATGAAATTCTATGCGCGTTTAATTAATAACTGATCGTGAGAATTTGCAACGAATGAAAGCATAGCACGGAAGTTAACCAACCCAATCACGGCAACAATAACATTCAGATTATTAAATGAAAGCCGTGGTATTTGGTTTAACTTGTTGAACTAGGTGTCCACATGAGTTGAGTACAAGTGTAAAATTAGTGCAGAGAGGAAGAGAATGCAAATAACACAATGTTGAAATTTTTTAATTTTCTCGTAACAAATTTTGGTTGACAGTGTAAGTCATGAGTTGATAAAAATAATACCTGCTTGGGATTGGATGGAACAAAACAATGGTGATACTACAATCAACTCGATTCGGGACCTTGTAATTGAATGATCAAGACAAAAAATGTTCTATTTCTATTTTTGGCGTATCAACCTCTATCCTCGTATAGAGGTCCATGGTTGGCGAATGAACAGCCCTTAGTATTTGATGGGATATTGATAAATGAGTTGATGGGAATGAAAATCTTGAGTTGATGGGTAATAGAAAATGAAATGACGCTAGCGCTCAAACTGAAATGATAAATACCAAAAACTGTTTGGACAAATTCATGAACCTTTTTTGTATTTATTTTAGCTTCAAGACGTCCATTCTGTTCCAGTGTGGTTTAAGCTTTGCTGCTGATGGTAAACTGGTCACATATATCTGCCGACAGCCATTCGTCACAATGCCTATCAAAGTACACGGGCTGCCTGCTCCATCTCCACATACAATGAAAAATCTGAACTTTCAGTAAGTACTAGTCTAGCTACAAGCCCCTATATGTGTTGCAGGCCCGTAGTCAGGGGGGGGGGTTCGATGGGTTCCCCCCCTGGCCAAAAATTCTTTCAAAATCATGCAGTTTTTCACCATTCCGAGCACTTTTTAAGTGATTTTGGCCATTTTTGGACCAAAATTGTCAAAAGTGACCCCCCTGGAACTTTCCAAATAGTGAACCCCACTTGGCAAATCCTGGTTACGGGCCTGTGTTGTGTTGGTGAAGTAAATGAGAGGGAGGTCCAAAGTCTTAAAACAAGACTAAGTTACACCAGAAGTGGTGACAAATTGTTTTAGTCTCCGACTTTTTTGTGGATGGTGTTCAGCGATTGGTGGTTGATGTGACATCACAGTCAGATACACACCTCCCTAATGAAAGCCAGGACTCATATAGATGGCAGTTAACTACTAGGTTGTTCTTCACAACTGGCCCATTGGTGATTGGCTTGTGTGTAAATATTGCTGTTTTGAAACTTCAAATTCTCTACATATATCAAATAAATATCATATTTTCCTTCATTATTATTTTCAAACATGTTTTAAGATTCAAAAATAGAAGTTTTTAATATTTTCAATAAGATTTATCTTGGGAGATTTTTGGAGCAATTTTTACATGTTAAAATATGCTATTAAACCCACTGAATTTTTCGCCATCTATTGACAGTCCTGAAGGCCATTGATTTCTAACAGATTTCCCTGACACTGGAGCCAGTATTGAAAAATTTGAAAATCATGAAAAATTTAGATATTATGAGCAATTTGGGGGATTTTTAGACTCAAAAATATGTTTTTTGTTGATGGCAATTTCAGGTACGTCTATAGCACAGATGAACTAATCCGTTACCTTGGAAACATTCACCTTCAGGGGGAGCCACCAACTGTTATAATCATAGATGACTTCCAGCACTATGTTCAACAAATTCAGGTAACATTAACCTCATTGAGTATTACTTACCATACTTAAGTCTTTAGGCTAGTATGTATAGTATAGGCTTATAAACTTAAGGTAGATGTTCAATGCTGAAATGCATTAGAATCGGAGGACACCTACTTTTTCAGAGTTTTTGCAAAACAATATTAAATTGCATTTTAAATATAGTTCAAAAACATGAAAGAATACAGATGTAGATAATATATATTGTGACCATTTCTATGTTACCACCAAAAGTACATTGTTATAGTCTCTAACTTTTTTTGTGGAATGTGTTCCATGGTTGGTGTTCGGCATCTTACAAATTGCAGGTAGTGACATTTTGCATGTTAATGCCTTGTTAGAAAGTTACTCTCAACTCTTGCTGTCCATCTAGGTATGCTAGCAAGATTTCTTTGTATGATTTTTTTCAATATTTTTACAGGATGGTGGAAAGGAGCAAGCCATTGCAAAACTTTGTGCATTAGTCATCGATGCCTGTAGCTACATTCAAACAAAAAGGTAAGGTTATTTTAGTTTCAAGTTGGCCATCAAATGCTCCTTCCTTTACATTTACATAGGGCCTACATATATTCTGACATTGACTGAAAATATTTACATTTTAATTTTTTTGACTGATTAATTTGTGAAATGTTATGGAAACTGGAATCTATGGAAGTTATTACTGTTCCTGAGTTGCAGTTACTGAATTGCTGCAGTAGTTGTTAACTATATCTTAAGGGTCTTCTGTCATATGAACAAGTATATCAAGTAAAACCTGTCTAATCTTCATTGTACCCTGAAATAAGTCCAAAAATTCAATGAAATCATCAACCAGTTTATCACTGAATAAGCACAAGTAAAAGATGTGCCTTTATCTTCTCTACATACATTTTGGAATATTTGTTGAATAAGTGTAGTTTTGAAGCAATGATTTTCAAATTTTACAGAGATTCAATACAAGATATGCATAGTATAATTACAGTGGGGATGACAGTGAAACATTATATATCAGAACACCTCTCTAATCCAAACACCTCTTAATGTGAAAATTTTTTGTTGGTCCAAATTTTGTTATCTCCCATTTACTCCCATATTTAAGAAAATTTGAAATATGTACACCTGCTAATCTGAACACTTTTTGGTTGTCCCAGTAGCATTCATATTAGACAGGTAATACTGTACTTTATCACATGCTCTGTAAAATTCCAGTAATCTGATTGGTTGATTACCGTGTGAGTTTTCCCGTCTCACACGGCCGTCTCACACGTTACTAGAGGCAACCAGTGATGATCGATAGCAACGATGTGACGTCACTGATTATATCACTTCTAGCTAAGGAAAACAATATGACGTCATACTATTTCACAAACAAGTACGAATACAACGGTATGACGTCATATTGTTTCAAAGCGAAATCAAAAATTATAATAGTTACCAGAAGTCCACGGGGTTCTGAACACAATCACAACTGACCAAATCAAAATGCTTCAAAATTCCTAGACATGTGATAAAATCGTCATCACACGTTTCAGCTTATGTGATACAGGAAATATTCCACTCGGGTAACAATTTATCACATGCTCTGTAAAATTCCAGTAATCTGATTGGTTGATTACCGTGTGAGTTTTCCCGTCTCACACGGCCGTCTCACATGTTACTAGAGGCAACCAGTGATGATCAATAGCAACGATGTGACGTCACTGATTATATCACTTCTAGCTAAGCAAAACAATATGACGTCATACTATTTCACAAACAAGTACGAATACAATGGTATGATGTCATATTGTTTCAAAGCGAAATCAAAAATTATAATAGTTACCAGAAGTACACAGGGTACTGAACACAATCATAACTGACCAAATCAAAATGCTTCAGAATTCCTAGACATGTGATAAAATCGTCATCACACGTTTCAGCTTATGTGATACAGGAAATATGATTCCACTCGGGTAACAATGTATCACCACTCAAGCTTCGCTTTCGTGGATGATACAGTATTACCTTTCGTGGAATATTTCCTGTATCACATGCTGAAACGTGTGATAACTGATAGTATCACCACTCAAGCTTCGCTTTCGTGGATGATACAATATTACCTTTCGTGGAATATTTCCTGTATCACATGCTGAAACGTGTGATAACTGATAGTACTGGTATTGTACTGTACTTGTATTGTACTGTACTTATATTGTACTGTACTTGTACAATGTACATGTACGTCATGTACAGTGTATGTTATTAATTTAACTTCAGTGGGACATGTCACCTGGTGCTATCCTCTACTGACACCCAACCCTCTCATACGACAGTCTACCAGAGATTCAACAAATGTCTCTGTCATATAACAGGTAGGCCTAAATATTTTGTCAATTAGTTGAGAGGTATAAATTGTCTCCCTAGCATTAAAGCAGCTGAGTGCTTGGCATTGTGTACAAGGGCCGATCAAAAAGTTTCTTACTGTTGGCTCTAGATTTTATTATAAGAGGAGTTGGATGCTCAAACTTGTAGCATGTGAAAATTATCTTCAACTGTTTGAAAATCCATTTGAACCTTATAATTTGCAAATGAAGATGTTTTTGTCCAGCATGAAACATTTCTTAGTAAGATTAAATTTAGTGGAATGGAACCACTGCCTTTTTATCACAATCAGTGACATGTTGTTATAATCTCCGACTTTTTTGTGGACAGTGTTCAATGGTTGGCATTCGGCATCTGTAACAAATGGCAGGTGGTGACATTTTTCATGTTAATGCCTTTTTTTCATTGAGTGATAAGACAAATTGATGTTTACTTCCAGTGGAGGAATCTCATGGTGCTGAAAAAAGGTTGAATGTTCATCCGATACCTTCAAAGCTACATCTCAAACTTGTGGTAAAGGATGAAATCTTCCTGGACAAAATAATGAAAGAAACTGAAGTGACTTGACACGTGTGCTACAAACTGACTGAAATCTAGTCGAACATCAGTGGTGTGTAATTATCGGAATTTCGTTTGGATATTGAAATTAGCTGCACAGATGGTAGGCTTCAAAATGGATATTGGCAAATCTTGTATTTGGAGGTCATCATGATAAAATGTTGGAGAATGTAAGGGAGTCGCAGAATACATGCTAACATGTTTAGAAAAGCCTGAAAATAGGCTCAAATAATTGTTTTAGTTTCTCAATCAAGATAAACTGATGAATGTTATGTGCCTTTTGGGTGACAGTATGGGAGTACAGATCGTAAAATGGACAATGGTATCGACATCGTCATGTTGGATATGCTCCTAACTTTATAAAAAAGTTGTGAATTTAGTTTAAGAGAATATGGGACAGTATGTGTACAGTTAATCTGTATGAAGACATTACAAATGCCTCAGTCACATTTTATCTACGGCAACCGTAGCTTCCCAAATGGAGAGAAATATGCAGCATAAAATATAGGGATAAGCAGTACAATGTAGATTTTCTATATTAATTTTGTGAAGCATTCCAGCCGTACAGCGGCCAAAGAGCAAATGTAACTGAGGCATTGACGTGCGAGAATGTTGGGGTAGGTGAGGATGCACCTTAGTTGACATGATGCAACATTTCAGAAATTTGGCTAGATGCATTTAAGTAAGTCATGATTATGATCGATAGAATAATGATAGGCTAGTTGAAAAACTGATATGTTTCGTTATAAGGCAATGTATTTTTCAAAAATCGATTGAATAAAAAAAGTATGTGAAATTATTTTTGTGTTTAGATTTATTTAAAGAAAATGAGAATTAACAGACGATACATTGATGTATTTGCAATGATGACCAAAATGATACAGATAATATAGAAAAAAACTCAACAGTTATTTGGTGAAATTGCCATTTTTGTAGTAAGCAACAGGAAAATAAACAATTCTAGTTTTTTTCGTGATCCATGAAATGATGCATGAATAATATGAATGCATGTACAAAAAATCCCCGAAAATACATTCTATTAACTCACAGCCAAGAGTTGACATATGATGGCAAAACTCAAGATATATGTGCCAAAGATATGTGCCAGTTTAACTGGTTACAGTATAAAAAAAATTAGGCAATAAAAACACATGGTATTGTATAAAGGACCAGGTCCAAAAATGAAAAAAAAATCACAATATTTCGAGTAAAAATACATTTCATATATTTTTACATTACAAACTACATGAGAAAATTAGAAATACAATAAAACAACTTGTTTCACACATATTTTGCCACAAAAATTGCTCTTAATTGAAGTGCTCCATCTTTTTCTCCAATTGATGCTGTGGTGGCATTTGCTCCAATCGTCAATGCCTGGTTGGTGATCATTTTGTTCAAGACTGAATGCAATTTTGCAAAAATCGGCCAGGCACACATTATGAAAATCGGAGCAAATGTGACCACGGTATAACAAATCATACAAAGTTTACCTTGTTAAACAATCACAGTTCATGCATTCACATATATGTTATTTCTTCAATTTTGTAACATTTTTTTTTCAATTATTGGCACGGCCACTGATTATCAGGGCATGGCCTAAACTTTTATATTGAATACAGAGAATACATAAAAATGTATAAAGAAGTACAGAAAGTTTATAAGTTAATCAAAAGTTTATCAAATAAAATAAACCTTGAAATATTGCTTTAAGCTTTTTAGTTTGGCCTCTAAATTGCTGTATTGTTACTTCATACTTGATACGTTGTTGTTGTGTATACACATTCATATACATGTATCTGTGGGTGGATGCATTTAGTAAATTGCTTTAATAGAGCACTCTTAATATCCCAGATGCGAGTAGAAATAATCTTGATTTACGTCATTAAAAATTCACAATTCAGTCAAACTGGTGTCATATTTGGAATCTACATATAAAATTACATCTAAGAATGTGGTTTTGAAAAGAGTTTATCAACTTTGAAAATTTAATTTTCTTCGAAAATGTGACTTCTAGGTCGGGGAGATTCCCCATAGACCCCACGTTGTAAAACCACAAAAAGTGAAATATCTTTTCTTGTGTTGGGCAGATAATATTTTCTTTTACTGGACATATTTTAATATATATAACTATCAGATACATAAGGGTAATATGAAAAGTTAACCATTAAAACTGATGCATATTCAAGTTTAAGGGAATTTTGTAATACCCTGCCATGTTAATTCCCCCGAATCAGCCACCTGGTGCCGAAACTGGTAACTACCTACTCGCATCTGAGTAATTAGGATTATCACAATAAGGCTGATATACTGTATGAGGAAATCCCTTAAAGATTCTCATAGATATTATCAGTATTATTGCTAACTCGTCATTGATGAAGATTAAAATTGCTTATCTTCTACAGAATCGGTAAATCACAAAATTAAAACAGGCGCTAAATTAAAGCAATATAAAGTATTGTCTAAATTTCTAAGATTCTAGTCCTTCTTCTCCTCAATTGCTTTGTCCTCGTTGAACCACCAAGTGTATACGTTGATGCTGCTGGCCAGGGTGAGCCATACCAGGTATGGGACCATTAGATAGCTAGCTACCTTATTAATGGGATGGAACTTCACTACACATCCAGCCACTGCACCCCAGGTCATCAGAATCTCAATGGCTCCCTGGAAGAAACAAACAGATTGAATTGAATAAACAAACAGATTGAATTGAATAAACAAACAGATTGAATTGAATAAACAAACATATTGAATTGAACAAATAAACAGATTGAATTATGTACCAATAACATATATATTGACCTGCATTGGTCCTCATTCTCCACTTATTTCTTCCTCCCATCAGGTTCAAAGATTACAGTGGAGGGGGGCAAGGGCAATAAATGAATAACCCCAATATTAGTCCTATCCAAAATGATGTACATGTATGGTAAAGCCCTACTAATTTGCATATCTAATACTATAAGGTTTTCATGTTGAGATGAGTTAACATCTATCTTTTCTTGTTCTTTGGACATGTATGTTCCTCTAATTTGGTGCCAGTGCTTTAATTTGGTCCTTTGTCAAAGTCTACCCAAATTTTCAAATTTTTCTGAAATGTTCTTTCAATACAAAATCTTGCTTGGAAATTTTTCTCTCTCCAGTCAATAAATGTACATGAGACCAAATTGAATCTTGATCAATATTTCAAATATGAGGAAAAATAACATTAGTTAGACCTACCACTCCAATCCAATGCATTCCAAAGAAAATGGGTGTCCAGGCCCAGTTTAGGGCAAGCTGTGTCCCATAGAGTGCCAGGGCTGTGGAGGCCTCTCCTTCAAAGCCACCCCCATCTCTCCAAACCAAATAGGATGCATATCCCATACCTAGGAATAAAATAAATGTGTTACACCATACCTAGCCTAGGAGTAAAATGCAGTGTTCTCCCCAGGATTTTTTCTCAAGTGGGTGCAAAATTTTCATTTTCACAATTCATTCCAGATGGTCAAAATATGCCTATTTTTATGTATATTTCTCATTTTCAAGTACGTGGGTGAAAATATTTTCAGGTGGGTGCAAGTCTCTTTTGAAATCTCTAGTGGGTGCGGCGCCCACTTGCTTTAATGCTGAGGAAATCACTGGAATGTGTTGTTCACTTCTGGAATACTAGTATCCAGAATGAAATCCCTGAGAAACCAAAGCTAGAACGAAATTTTTATAAAATAACTGATCATTAAAATTGACAATTTCTATCCAAAATGGCAAATTATGTTTAACATGTTTAATGTTTTGTATTATGCACAACTAAAGAAATTGAAAAGTATTGAACTTTTATACATAAAGAATAGGAGATGTAAATATAATAGACTAATGTACCTGTATACAGAGTGGTCCATACTGGAGCAAACACCCAATTTGGAGGGGTCCATGGTGGCCTATTTAGGGTCTACAAATAAACAATAAAAAATGAATAATTTTGAATCACTGAGGCTTGTCTACAAACAAGCACAATAGACTGACTTCAAACCAAAATAGGCAAGGCATTTTATGAATCAGTGATTTTTAATCCAAGTGGATAAAAGTTACACATTTCAGATAAAATACAGTGAACAAATTACTTAATATAAAACAATTAATTTCCTTTATACATGTACTATAGACAGCTAGAAAAACAGCAACTCCACGGAGTAGCAAATCCCACCTAACAAAACATGTTTTGATAAATAGCGGCCAACCTGTATTTGAGTTATGCCTGGACACTGAACGGATGGCTTTTCATGTCATTACATGTATATATTGTGCTCAGATATTTAGAAAATTAGTCTTGCATCAAACTCAAGCCCCTAGTCTAAGCCCTCATTATACACACTTCTAGGTTGAGGATAGGATTTGATGAAGGACTAATAAAGGCTCAAGAACAGACTTAAGAAACAGGACACCAAAATTGTGCTAAATTGGCACTAAATAAAATGAAAAATTCTGGGTCATAAAACATGCTTGAAGATGTTAAATTGTTTCATAGTATGCTGGTTAAAATTATTCTATTTCGTGATACCAATTAACAACTAACATCAATAAACTGAGGGAAATATGATAAAGTTGGTTAGTATTTAATGAGAATTAGTATATACAGGGTGGGCCAAAAAATTTTGCAACCTTTTTAGAAGGCAAAAAAAGTATCATAACATTATGGTATTGACATGAAATTTTTTTTACAGAAACTTAAGGATAGGCATATTTTACCATTCAAATACTTAAGCTAATACTGACTTCAAATTTTTTTGTCAGATGTTTGAATATTAATGGTAAATTGTTCATGTGTCCGAGATTTACCGATTTTCCTAGAAAATGTGATTTTCTATCATTTTATGTGATCATCGATAGAACATTTATTATGTTCCCTAATCTGCTGTAATCTTTGTTAAGTGGCGGCTATTCATCAGGACTAATGAATCAAGGGGTATTTTGCTCCAGATATTCCATAGTGACTTTTGGCCTATGGTCAGGAGCGCTATACTGCTGGAATATGTAATCACTTGGGGCTGAAAGAGCCCCCATTCTTGAAAGATGTCCCTTTAGAAGAAGATTAATCCTGAGTGGAATGGCCACCCAATACACCAGATGCCAACCCCTGGGACTATCACACATGGGGGCACCTGGAGCAATGTATTGTAGTGTAGCGGGAGCACAATTTTTATATTTATTTATTTTCATTAATTAATTTCAGTTCTTATTTACTCATGTTCTTTCTCATTAAATATAGAGAAGAGTATTTGTCCATAAATTATAATAATTATTTCTTAAATTAAGGGTGAATTGAGCTTTTAAACGGTGTATTAAACTTTGAATTTGATCTCATACTTTAGGAGATATTGTAATTTAAAAAGAGTGATTTTCAGTCAAGTTTTATATTTCTGACGGCATTTTGCCGACACTTTTTCAAACTTTCCCACATAGTAATTTGATTGACAGGCTAGCGCTAGGTTTATTAGTCTTTGATGTGACAGATATTTTGACAATGTAGCGAGCAATTAAACCCGTTGTTATGGTAGCCTTTCCATATATGGAAAGTTATGTTCCGTTATTTTAATGTTCTCATAATCGTTCTCCGGGACGATCAGTCCTGAGTTTGTATCTGAGATAGGAGGTTCAATTTCTCCATTTTTATAAAGTCTCAAGTTGTATCTGAAAGTGATAATACGTATAAGAATATTTCGGCATCTGATCAAGTTTTACATAAGATTTGGGATTTTAAAGGCTTTGGATTATAATTACGATCATTTGTAACTGGATTTACTAGTATTGGATTTATAATTGGATTTATACTTCGATTACATTCACAGAAATCATCATGTCTTACCAGCCTACAAGGTAAATAAAGTTTATTGTTTATTGTTATAAAGTTTAGCTCATTTCTTTTGTTCAGTTATTTCAATCTCATCAATTAGTAAATTACTCCATCCATTTGAGCGATACAAAATCCTTTCATACACAAGACGAAGCCACAACATCATCTTTCCAGTGCCTTATTTTTAATTAACGGGGTTTCCGCTCGGCCCATTCTTTCCAGTATTTATTATTTTGACCATATTGATTTCATAATGGTGAAAAACATTTCATTTTAAATAACTCCCGCCACAGTAGTTAATGGTTATACCCCACAAATTATTGATCAACTATAAGAAGTTCTGCAGGATAAGTGGAGATGACTACCACAAGAACTGCTGGATCTTGTCATTGACCAGTTCAGTTCTCGTCTCCATGTGATTGTTAAGGTGAAAGGCGGATGCATAGAACATTTGTTTAATAAATAATTAATACAGTGTAACAATATTACCATAGTGACGAGATCCTGATATAAACCTGTACTAGACATTGGTTAAACAGTTATCAAAGATTGTAGCAGATTTAGTAAACATAATGAATGTGTTATTGTTGATGACATAAAATCATAGAAAGTCTGATTTTCTCGGAAAATGGTAAATCTCGGACAAATGAACAATTTACCATTAATATTCAAACATCTGACAAAAAAATTTGATGTCAGTATTAGCTTAAGTATTTAAATGGTAAAATATGCCTATCCTTAAGTTTCTGTAAAAAAAATTTCATGTCAATACCATAATGTTATAATACTTTTTTTGCCTTCTAAAAAGGTTGCAAAATGTTTTGGCCCACCCTGTAGTAATCCTAGAACCAAATGGTATGGCTGAAAACAAAGCTGAGCTTCAAGCATGTCAAGCACAATACATCAAGCAACTCAAGAAAAGCAGAATTCTTATGATGAAGATCGAGTTAGAAATTCATGCAGAATCTAAATGACAATATTCTTGTATTGCTGGTACATGTTTATATGAAAGGCCATCTGAAATGCTTTTCACAGTAACAGAATATCCTGTAACAGGTTAATTTATCCTTGGTCCAAGGGTATTTCACTTCTTTCCATACCCTTGGTGCAGCCTGAATTAAGCATAAATGAAATCCTTTGAAGAAGGATGGGTTAATTTTTCAGTTGGCACTTTATTTTGGTGAATTTACATTTTGTATGAAATTGATGCAAATTAGATTATGTCAGGGTCGAAGCCAGCTTTTGCAAAGAGGAGTTTGATTTTTTAAAATTCCAAGTGAGTTTGGATTTGACAATTTTGGCAGAAAATCACTTGACTCATATTTGTCCTCCAGATGATGTAACTGTAAACTAAGTTTAAAATCTGACCAATCAGGAGTGTGCTCTTGATGTAAATTGGATGTATAAGTGTAAACTAAGTGCAAACTTAGGTGTAAACTAGCTCATTTGCATGTGAAATTGGTCACCTATTTACTGGGTGTAAACTAAGTGTAAACTGAGGCTAAACTAAAGTGTAAACTGAGTGCTAACTGGATGCAAAGGAGATGTAAACTAAAATGTAAATTAGGTGTATACTAAGGTGTAAACTAGCTCATATGCATATGAAATTGGTCACCTATTTACTGGGTGTAAACAAAGTGTAAACTGAACTTGTAAATACTAAAATGTAAAGCCTTGTAAATTTTGATATGGGGAGGGTGAACTCTAAATCGTGCATAATTAAAACACCAAAGACCTGGGTTTGATGACATATACCTGATACCATGGCTTTATATTTTTATCAGCGGAAGGTGCGCTTTTCCTTAATGCATAAACACTTCTAAGACCGCCACCTATGGAAGGGATGGCAATCGCAAGTAGAGGCTTGCTCCAGGACATTGTGAATCAGACCTTTATTCAAGAAGAAACATGATAACTATATAAACCATGGACGTAGCCAGCTTTTAGTCAGGGGGATGTGATTGCTAAAAAAGGTCGGGGTGGGACGTGCGATCGTGGCATAATCCAAGTGGATAAAAAATATGCATATTGTATAAACTGCAATATATGAACTATTTAATATAAAAATATTTGTTGAAATAAGTTTTCTCAACTTGCAGCTACAAAAATGCAGTTTTCTTCATTGTAAGCCCAACTTAGAGTTCTTGCGATAGCCATTATAAAAAAGATGTTAGACAACTGTTAATGGTCATAAATAACGTAATAAGATTAACTGATCAATCAGATTGGCCCCCACGTGATTAATAACGTCATACATAATAACAGTTTCCATTTATTGGTTCCAAAGGATTGTTGTGTAAACAAATAACAAAACAACTTGGCATTATGACATCATGATTTAATGGACCAAAAAGGGCCATGTGGGGACCAGTGAGAGATCACATGGGGGCCAAAAACGTCACAACCAATTTGAATATTGCTTATTAGCAGCTGATAACGATCGTTAGAGTGAAATAGTTTTCACAATGCTGATGAGAAAACATGTCCAAATACATTTATCAGAAAAATTATATTGACTCCTTCAGGTTAAAAATGCCGTTTCATATCTGCTTTGAACTGATAATATTCAAGTTTAAGGGAACTTTCTTATATACCTGTCATGTTAATTGTACTGCATTGCACTAAACTGTTCTGTACTACATTGTACTTTACTACTACAGAGAACAGTGCCATTGTTGAAATACATGTTTATAAGTATTTTGAAACATATATAAATATTTCGTTATACTTGTGCTACTTCAACATGTTTAAGTGCTAAAAATTGGAACTAAATGATTTGCAAAATTCCAGATTATAAACATCCTGAAAGATGTTAGATTGATTCATATTCTGATTAAAATTCCTTTTTATGATACCAATTAACATCAATAGACTGAGGGAAAAATGATAAAGTTGGTTAGTATTTAATGAGAATTAGCATAATAATCCTATAACCAAATGGTATGGCTGAAAACAAAGCTGAGCTTCAAACATGCCAAGCACAATGCATCAAGCAACTTAAGAAAAGCAGAATTCTTATGAAGAGTTAAAGAAATTCATGCAGGGTCTAAATGACAATATTCTTGTATTGCTGGTACATGTTTATATGAAAGGCCATCTAAAATACTTTTCACAGTAACAGAATATCCTGTAACTTGAGTTAATTTAATTTTACAGTTGGCATTTTATTTTGGTGAATTTATATTTTGTATGAAATTGATGTGAATTCAAAGGGATTTGTTACACACGCAATGAGCTTCAGGCATGCCTTGAATGAAAGCCCATGCTTCAGGTGACAATTTTGGGAAATCAAGAACTCATTGGCCCTAAGGTTGGAGGCACAACAAAGGATTAAACCAGGGGATTAAACAGCTGATGAAGTGAATAGCATTGAAATTAATGACATTATAACTCATGGGCATGCCATAAAAAAGTGAAGAATTTTAACTAATAAAGGCCAAAATAAGGATCATCAAGTAAGGTGAACACGTAATAATTCTCTTAAAAAATCATGCCTTTACTTAAAACACCAAAGACCAGGGTTTGATGACATATACCTGATACCATGGCTGTATATTTTCATCAGTAGAACGTGTGCTTTTCCTTGTTATGTAACCACTCAGAACGCCACCTATGGTAGGGAAGGCTATCGCAAGAAGAGGCTTGCTCCAGGACATTGTGAATCAGAGCTCTATTTAAGAAGAAACGGGAAAACTATTAAGCACTAGCTAGCTAAATATAACAGTTATTCATCACAGAATGGGTTGCATAACTGCATAATATGTGCAAAAGATGGGTTAGTTTGGACATTGAAAGCCCATGGTTTGGACAAAAAATTGATGCCTATTTGTTGTGTTTAACAAATTGTGCATGTATGTCCGAGAAACTGATATGATTTAGAGTATAATAAGCATTAATTTTTATGAAATAATCCATATATTTTATTTGATGGTAATAAAATGCTGAAAATGTTAAGGGGATAATGGAGAGTGTGCCAGTTGATGACATATTGAAGAGGGTTGCATCATTGGTGAACATGGTAGTAGGTAGGATATAGAGATGATGTGCTTCGGTTGTGTCTCCTCTTTTGCATTATCTACAACAGATTATGGCTTGCCTCCAATCAGTACAATTGGGTCATTCCTAAATGATGAAGAAGTCAAATGGATCTTGTGATCTATCGGAAAAATCTGTCCAATGAAACACCTCTCTGTACAGTCACATTTGATCTACAGCAACAAAATCTGTCCAATGAAACACCTCTCTATACAGTCACATTTGATCTACAACAGTACGGATCGGCTGCAACTCCCAAAAATTGAGAGAAATATGCAGCATGATATAAGGGATAAGCAGTACAATATAGATTTTCTATGCTGATTTTGTAAAGCTAATGCCGCCATACATTTGCTGTTGGGCAATTTGACTGAGGTACAAGAAGGACCCCTCTACATATCATAGTTTTCAATAGAACCATGTCACATTTAACTAACATGTTAATGGACCCTCTCTGTAAGGATCACACCTACTTAAAAGATGCAATTTTGAACTGTTCAATATTTAGCAATTAACAGATTAAATTACTATATTAGGAAGAAATAGGATTGAGATGTGTCTATGGTTGTGTTCTCTCTTGTTTGCATGTTTAAATGCAAAGAATATATTCACAGAAGGGAGAGAATAGAAATATGCGGATTATCTCTGGTTCTGAGTACCACTGTGAAAGTGGGTCATAAAGTGACTCCCCCCCCCCCCTTGGCAAAAGCTTATAGCTATGAGCCCGGGTCGCAATGTAGTTCAAACAGTCTGAGATAAAGGATTTATTTGTCCCCAAACCTATTTGTAGTGATATAGTTGGAATGTACTCACAACTACAGCATACAAAATAGATAATCTTATCAGAAAATGTCAAATATAAAATTAATAGCTTGACATGGTGATGTATATTGAAAACAAGATCCTTGGATGTTTGTATTGCAATTATGAAAATCATGAAAACCAGCAAATAAAAGATTAAACATTTAGACCAAGTTGAACCTGTACATGCCCAGCATAAATTTTTCAAGTACATGTGATATTAAAAAATTGTTATTATGAAAATACTTATCTGATCTAATAGTGGAAGATGGAATATTCAAGTGAAACGTGATCTTTAAATAGTGAAAGGTCACACAAAATAAAAGTCAGTATAAAGTGACCTCAAAAGTCATGTAGACTTCATAGTGAAATCTGTTGTATTTTTAGATTAGTCTTAACTAAATGTGCATGTTTGATTCTTTCAGGCTAGTGTAATAAATTATATGTTTTGACTTTAATTTTAGAATTCTTTTCTTTGAAAACTCAAAATATGGCTTTTCTTTATTGTATAAGACACATATTTCTGTCAAGATAGAGGGAATATGACAAAATCGAAATTTCTCTAATAAAACTAGGACCTTATTTTTGGTAGTTTGAAATAATGATGGAGGATATTAAACAATTACTTAATTACCCTACCCTTGTAAGAATGTGCAGTTAAAAGGTTAATGGGCTTTATATCAAATGCAGTGAATAAATCATGAAAATCATTTATGTTTTCACTCAACACTCACATACTCGGATTATTTTTTGATTCATATGAAATGTGAATCTGTGATGTTTACAATTTTGTGCTACATGCAATGAGGCACATTCACTCATAAACAGAACCATTAGATACATTATATGATATACCATTATTTGCAATCCATTATTTATTCTTAAGAAGACTCAGTGCACAAATGAGCAAGGATAATATATAGCATTAGTAGTGATTACTGCAGATCTTAAAACATTAAAGGGGCTTGTGCTTTTTCTTATCCTAAAATACTCGAAAATTAAGCAAAACCAGTAACTTGCACCATCAATATTACAACTTTTAATTAGCACTTGAAGAAATTAAGAAATTATATGAGGTGCATGCACTTCTTTTAATTTGCACATATGGTAATTTCAGGAAAAGGCTTTGTATCAAACTTTCTCAATGGTACAAATTGGAGGCTGTCATGATTTTGGGGCATTTTAAAGAGACATAATAAGAATAAATCAATTCAACAGTGAAACCTGTAAAATGGAACACTTCTTAAAGTGGAATGCCTCTCTGTAAGTGGAACACTTTTCAGAGTCCAAAGTCCATTTGACTTAATGTTAAATGAACCTCTTCATGGAACACCTCACAATTAGAACACTTTTTAGGGATACCAAGGTGTTCCACTTGGACAGGTTTAACTGTATATAATAATAGTGTAGATAAGTTATTATGTTATGAAAGCAAAAAAATATGTGACCGACCACCACCCACCCTGCAAGATAATACTCTTTGACACTTGACAGTTAAATATACCTTATACCAGCCTGGTACTTGTTTTTGTGTTATTAGAGCACCAGCGAAGCCACCTAGATGTGGCAAAACTGTGGCAAAGGTTGGTTTCAACCACCAAGTCATATTTATGGCTTTTTCTAAAATAAAACAAAAATTAATAATAGAAATGGTGAAAACTAACTATAAGTGAAGAGAAAAATAAAGCAAAATTATAGCAATTGGGTAGGGTGTAAAATATTAGAAGCAATGTTTCAATAATCATGCTTATATTAGACTATTATCTCATAATATCTCCAATAACTACAACTACCAGTTTGATAACAGAGCTTGAAAATCCAAGATCTACATATAGGAAAATACACGGTACTCAAGTCTTAACAGTGGAGATTGTTCCGCATGTGTTTTTTCAAACGATTTAGACTTTAATATTTGTATGCATAAGAGAAAGCATGGATGGTATAAGTAAATAAACAGTGTGAGATCTTTGCATTCATTGCATACTTTGGAACATATAGAACATCTCTGAATGTTTTATAATATATAAACAGTAAAACTTGTCTAAAAATTTGGGTCCTATTAACAAAGGGAGTAAATTGCTCCCAAAGGGATGAGAAACTTGTACACATTCGAAGAGTAGCACCTGTACGTTGTGAGTAACACGACAACATGGGCTTTCAAGACGACAACAACAATACAATTTTAGCATCTTTATCTACATGAACATACAAATATACAGGCTTAAATTATATTTCATATCATGATGTGGACACACCATGTAATAATCAGCTTATGATTGTAGCCCAATGCAGGCCTGTCAACTTGGGAACACCTAACACGAAAAATTTCGAACGGAATGCGTGACATATACGTAATTTGCGTCAAAAGTCTGAACGAAATGCGTACGTTTTTTTCCGGCGTTCGTATTTTTGCTGGGTAGACGATCTTTTTTAGAAATTTTTCTACAGAAATATTTTTGCTTGACAACATGGGCTTTCAACTAGTTGAAAGCCCATGTTGACAATTACCAGGTAAAATGCGTATTTGCGTGACATTTTCTGTCACGCAAAAATAACTGGCGTGACTTCAAATTCTTCAGCAAATGCGTGACAAATACGCAAATTGCGGGACAGTTGACAGGCCTGCTAATGTGAAATATGATGACACTCAGACTGACAACTGAACTTGACTTGATTTTTTATTATTTTCATTCATTTGATTTTTAGCAAACTGGATACTCAACTCTTCAATTTTCAATTCTCTCTGTGAAGAATGATTTCAGACAAAAGTCCATGTCAAAGTTTCAAAATATGTTAAGTGAAGACAGTTGAATATTTACAAAATTATGATAAGAAAACTTACCTTCCAAACTTTTCTAAAAATTATGAAACCGTGACCTTTGACCTGCAGTGAATAATAATCGATTTTTAATATTTTCACACTCCATCAAAAATAAAAATAGTATCAATTTTACATCTATAAAAATATTTTTCAGTGTAGAACTAAATCACAATTTTGAAATTATTGTTGTAAATCATACTGATGTTGATATTGATATTCACTCCAAAATGGCGGCCAGTCCTCCGACTCCAACTTTGAAGAAAGATAAGAAGGATGAGTCTTTTCTCGATAAACTGGGTACCATTGCCCGCAGAAAGAAGGCGAAAGAAGGTAAGTGTTATGCTCCTCATGTTGAAAGGAGATCAAATCCGATATAAGCTGAAATCATTGTTTATATCGATCCAAAAGATGAGAATTTTTTATTTTTCTGACCACAAATTTATTTATTTGTGTTTTAGCACAAAACTTCACCACCAAGGAAGGTGAGCGCCATCTATCTCTTATAACTAACATATAAAGTAATGTGCGGCAACTCTAGGTAAAAATTCAAAGTTTTCGTTGACCACTGCAGACCCGAACCAGATCCAATCCTCGGTGTAGGTTCAATGAAATAATGAGAAGACCGAACAGAAAACCAAAAATAGTACATCCAAAAATGATCACCCAAAAATATTACCCTTGTTCTGAACTTTACAAGCATCAAATGATTAATTTGCCTTGTAATCTCTTCTTCATATTTCAGTTTGAATCATTTTGTCATATTTATAACTATCGACACTGTGAATAGAGTTTTCCCGTGACAATTGTTTCAAATTTTCAGTATTTAAAGATAATGTCTGAATTTGGTAGTTTCCGGCAATGTTTGATCCTGTTCATCTGTCAGTTTACGTCTTATTCCGACTAGGAACTCTGATTAGCTCGTTGAGTTCAGAGATTTATTGAAAACTGAAAGAGTAGAGACAAAGCTCTCTTTTGTGAATGTAAAATCGAACGAATGCAAACGGTAATACATCATGTATAATATGAGCCTGGCCATAGGAAAACCGGTCTTATCACAAAAATTAAAATTGCGCTACAGAGCCAAAAATGTGCCCAAGATTAAGAGAAAAATGTGCTAAATTAGAATCCGTTTTTTTGGTCTATATTCAGACCTGTCTATATTATCAAGGAAAAATTGTTAAGACATAAGCCATTGCTCATTTGAAAGGTCTATTTGTGCTTTTTAGATAAACAAAAAATCAATTTATTGAAAAATCTGTGATAAGACCCATTTTCCTGTGGCCTGACTCATATATCATGTATGGTTTAAGTGATTGAAGATAAAGCTGACAACAGTGCATATCATTTCAGGAATGACATGTTATATTTATTGATAAAGACTCCAGAATCAAGGCAATAAGAATTTTATGAAGATTTTATATGTGATCCCCTTGAGTAAATTTCTCAATCCAAAATTTTCAGTCCCATAACTCAACTTTATTATACTCATGTTTTGAGATTATTTTAGCCTCAAAAGTCTGCAGGATATCCAATCGTAATGAAAGGTTTAACCTTATACCCCAAGAGTCAGAAAATTGTTATAACCACTTGAAATTGTGCTCAAACTGTTTTTGTCAATTTTTTTGTTTTTTATTGCAATTTCTTTTTTGTTCCTTTCTACCAATTCTTGAGAATCAAATAAAATATCTTTCCAAACCTTGTTGGAACAAAAAAGCATAAGCAACATTTTCTTAGACCTTTCAATATTATAGTTATACAAAAGAAGAAAGTTTGGTTGATTTAACAAAAAGTATTCAAAAAATTAAAACAAAAACCCCCAAAATAGATAAAAATTAAGATAAACCTTTTATTTCATTAACAAGATACTTTTTTTTAATCAACCAAACTTTCCTTTGTACAATTACAATATTGTTTTCATTTGTCATATTTGTAAACAAGCTGGTGAAAATTCTGACAAAGGAAAGTATATACATTTAAGCAAAACAAAAATGCCTTTCTGTTGGTACATTATTCTGTCACACTGAGTCCCTCTTTTTAGCAGTGTTTGGTTCCCCAATTATAAGAGGTGCTTCTCAATAATATTCTGCTATAGTATTTTACCATATGTGTAATTACATAGTCTACACATTCTGAAAATTGAGAAGGATCACAAAATGAGAGCATTTGTATCACAATATATGGATGGCCCCTTCTATTTCTATTCTTAAGATGTAAGTTAACTTATCAATCATCGTAGTATCCTGTAGTTCTGCGTCGCTTCAGAAAATCCACAGAATTTGGGTATTCAAAATTTTTGCAGAATTTGATTTTTGGCACAGAATTTCGCGGAAAACATAATTTTTCCAGTTAATAGCCATCTCGTCTCATTTGACACTCACCTAGACACCTAAAGATGGTGCATGTTTATCATCAGAAACTGGTGTTGTTAGGTATCCTAGAGGAAATCTGAAATCTGTTCAGATTCTCAAACTACAAGCTTCCGCCTTTTTACTTAGAGATTGTATCTCAGTGATTTCCCCAGGATTTTTTCTCAGGTGGGTGCGAAATACTCATTTTCACAATTCAGACCATAATTGGTCAAAAAATGCCAATTTTTCATGATTTTTGTAAATGGATTTTCAGTTAGGTGCAAGCCGATTTCAGATATCTCAGGTGGGTGCTGCACCTACTTGCTTTAATGCTGGCGAGATCACTGCATCTTATATGTTACACAATTTTAACTTCAATTTCTTGATAATTCAGACATAAGCCCATATTCAGACACAAAGTTTCACTTTTCTCTATGCAGAATTTGGTGCAAAATTTGGGATTTCATGCAGAATTTTACTCTTTCATGCAGAATCTTTCATTTCTCTTGCAGAAAATTAGGATGTGCTTACAGACATTTAATAAGTCTACTTGGTAATAACCTGTACATGAATATCTAAGAAATACAGAGAAAACATTGCATTTGCATTTTGCATCGTAATTTTATTTCTTGGTGAGAAATATATTTATTGCTACATCGTGTATTATTTTGCAATAAATATTTTTGCAAAGTCTACAGATAGATTATATCTGATACGCTTTATTAGCCTTTGAAGATTTAGTTTATTCAATTATATACAATATAGACAATTGACCTATAAATATATATCATAATTATATGATATTAGGTACAGTATACTGTAAATTGGGTTATTTTGTTGCTATTTCTCATTTTAACAAAGATGTAAAATTGGCAAACTTTTCCAAATTGACATAAAGTAACCAAAATAAACTCCAACTAAATCCTGAGGTATAATAAAATCCTATAGATAAATACTGTAGTAAATTATGAAATAACGCCCACATCACACTACAAACGTATCGTATCATAAGATGATAATTTGTTACTTGGAAAATATTTTTGTTCAACTGTTCGCTTGAGTGTTTTTAAAGGACCTTTTCTCAAAAATCATGAATTTATCTAAAACTAAATTTTAGAGAAAAAATGAAATGAATGATAAAAACATATTTTCAAACTACACAATGGGTCTTTAAATAGATAGTAGATAATCCAAAAACTCCCAAAGAAAGTTAACGATAAACCAAAGAAATTATATACAGAGGCTTGAAGATTATGTTTCTTCATGATTCCTGAATTTCAATTGTCTTTTAATTATATTAAAAGGATTATGACATAGTTTTTATTTTTATTTCATTGTCAAAAATCAACCTATAGCATCTGCTACCAATCAACCGTAGGCATTCCCGGTAGGCAAAAATGCTTTAGTTTCACTGATCTGTATATACTGTATGATGCCTTAAAGACCAACGAAAAACTCAAATGTCTTTTGTAAAAAGTCAAGCTTCCCGAAGACCAAAGTAATGATAAAGGAAATCCTTGTGGCTGGTTAGTACAGAGTGAAATTTAATGTACCATTCAAAGGTTTGTGAGACCCCCAAACACGGGAAGGGAAGGTGGTCGCACACTGTAATTGAATGGTTCATTTCCATATTTAGGAGAATTTGAATGTAATCATGTAATATTATGATCTTCAGAAATTATTTAACTCTCCATCCAATTTAAACTTTCCAGCATTTTCCTTACACCTTCTTTATCCATGCTCGGACAGGTTCAAAGCCCACAAATGGGAAAATAGTCATATAAGGTGTAGTCTAGTTAAGTTTACATGTTTACTTTTCACATTTTTCAAAACGGTGTCAACTCTACAGTCCTTAAACACATGTATGTAGTTTGTCGTTATATTCATCCCCACATGTAAAAGGCCACCAGCCATATTCCATTATCATCCTGAAATAATCAAGGACATAAATAGTAAATATCAAGCTCTGCAGAACACATTCAAAGTACTGTATATATAATTGAAATAATAAGGCTGCAAATGCCCTTATAGAAGTGTATACAAATAACTTGAAATAAGAATAATTAATTCATGTTTTACCTAGCTGGGCTCCTTGAGTCCTTTCTCTAATAAGCTTTTCTTGCATTTTGCATGGAATCTTGTACATGGAAACTCATTTTGGCCTTTCTTTTCCCATTTAAATTTACGCATGAAACCTCTTGTGACACTCATTCCATCAGGACACCTTTTCTTTGTGAATTTACGTGTGGTACATTTGTAGTAGTAGCATTGATTGAGTTTTTCTGCCTCTTCTATTGCTTGTGGGTCACCATACATATATTTATTTTCTTCGCATATGTCTAAGGAATAAAAAATATGTAAAAGTAAAAAAATCAACTGTTTAAGGTTAACGGTATGATACAGTCCTGAGTATAGTAGAGGAGAGTACAATAAAGTATAATACAGATAACAGTATCATCCAGAATTCTAATATAGTGAGAGGGAAAATTAAATGATTTTGTTGTTGGATATGCAATTCACAATTTTTAAGCTATTTAGAAAAAGGTCTAATATAATGCCGGTATATCTTTTATTGAACCGTAATTTTGTCAGTCTCTCCAGTATGTTCTTCCTTCACATTTCAGCGATGACTCATATCCTTTTAGATTCTTTCCTTCTATTTTGAGGTGTTCACAAATTCATATTTTATAATCATCAAACTAATCAATATATTTTTTATGCTTAGATTGTTACATACCACTTTCGTTGGCTGAACCTCCCTGTGCTTTACGTCGTAGCTCTGTCAGTTTTTTGCCAAATCCTTGTCCAAATTTGTCTCCATGTACAGTTATCAGCAATATCAGAGCAAGCAGCAAAGTTATTGAATATAATGTTGAGATTGTCATCTTTCTGAAAAATTCAAACATAATAAATGTCAAACTCAAAATATAAAGAACAAAAAATTAGACTGACATTCATTTTTGATAAAATTTGAGAATTGAAATAATCAACATTTATATTAGGAAATAAATATCCCGAGAGATTTTAATGATCGACTTTACCTTCTTTTGTTTTGTTATCCCCTAGTACTGTACTAATTCTTGCTTTCTCCTTTCCTTTCTAGTTTGTTTAAAATTTGTTGTGATCTTTATGACTCTATTACAGGAGGTGGCCTACGTGTTGTTGTTTAATTTTTTATAAACATCTGTTTATACAAGGATACATCTCTCATATTTTAACTATGGCTCATATCATTTTAGATTTATTTCTTCCAGCTTAGGCCACGACAGACAAATAAAATGTTATATTCATATGTGAAAAGTAAGGTCTAAGAAGCATTTATGAAAAATAAACCATAGTTCTATCATCTTGTATACATTGACAGTACACAATTCATTATGCATAATCAAAATACATTTTGAGCTGAGGAAAATAAAAATTAAACTTGTGAAAATGTTTCAATTTAAGCAAGAGAATGACAGTTTTATAATATTGATATATTCTAGCCTATATCCTGGTCTTGAATTATTTGCCTGTGTTTAAAACCGCAAGCAATGATTTCATCTTTCTTATTTACATTAATAGGAAATCACAAATGATCATATGAACCATATTTGTAAACCTGAAAACTGTGTTAATCTTTTGAAGAGCAGATAATGAATATTACGTCCTTTATTTTTATGGTTAAATATTTTGATAATTAAAAAACATAACAATAAGTTTGAAGAATAAGTTTGAAAGACATTATTAGGCCAGCATTTTTAAATATTCACATCTTGTTTATTTTCATTTAATCCTTGACCTTGGTTCCCTGGTATTCTAAATTGCAAAATTAAACTTCATAAAGATTGCCCTCATTGGCCGGGAGCTATTTTACTATACTGAAGGTTTGAATCTCTCTATTTTTACCTTTAACGAGATAACCATGTGAAAACACTGGTTGCCTTGGATTCCATGTGCATGTAGTGTGGTGATATATGAATTTGTGTTAATGGCTATGTGTTATTTATGGGCAATAGAAAACATATTTTATTTTAAATACTGATCTATTTTAGTGCTTTAATTGGTATCCTTGTCTAGCAAAACAGTCTCCTCAGTTGTCAAAACAAATAAATAACAAAAAAATATTTATTGACGATGAAACAAAATAAATATGCACAAGTGTGAATATTATCTGAAATCATATAGTAAATGTTACATAATCAAGTAAATCAAGCATTCCCCATAGAAATGAGTTTTATTAAAAATGTTTAACTTCTAAAATATGCTAATTATTTATGAGTACATATCACAATTATTTAAGAAATATAGACCAAAAAGCAGGTGTGATATTGTCAAATACACCCCGCAGGACTGTACCCCGAACAACCGAAGGGAGTAAGAGTTTAGAAAGCTTTTGTGCCTAGTCCTAAGAGGTGTATTCGACAATATTACCCCTGCTCTGAGGTCTATATTACAATTTGAATGGGAAAACTCACCTAAATGTTTCGAATATTCATCATGGTCCGCCATTACTACGATCCACTATTATGACGACACACATTACACATGTTACCAGGGGTAATGATCTCGAATTCACCCCGGATGAAATGTTGACTTTGTTATGTCCCCACCACATAGTGTGGGGCCATATTGTCGGCCTAGGCGCGTCCGTCCGTACGTCCGTCCGTCTGTCCGTCCGTCTGTCCGTACGTCCGGGAGTTTTCTCCAAAACCGCTACAGATATCACCTTCAAATTTTCATGGATAACTTATGAGTGCATACAGATGTGGATGAAAAAATTTTAACTCGTTACCTACTTCCTGTCGGCCATTTTGAAGTCAAATGCTAAAATCCTTGTCTGCAAACTTTAAGAAAAATGGCTTCACAGTTGCTTTTAAAACTTTAACATCTTGTTCAGCTCACTTCATTCTAGATCTGATTAGGTTTTGGACCTGTTAGCTCAGTCATGTCAGCCATTTTGAATGTCTTAAGAAAAGTTAGCGCACGATAATACTTTGTATCATATTGAATGGTGTTTTTGAGTTTTCATACTTTAACTATTTAGTAGCTTTATAAATAATTTCAGATCTACTTTGTTGTAAAAGCCTATGTTATTGTTAACAGTAGTAATATGTGATAATTTTGTAAGAAGAAATCAGCAAAAACACATAATCACTTTTTTATTGTCGGCCATTTTGGATTTTTCCGTCCTAAAATCTTGTCTGTGAAGTCTTGTCTACGTGTTTTCAGGTGAACCGTTTGTTGGATCAATTTCAAATTTTCAGGGATGATTCTTAGTATAAAAATCTAGATCTGATTTGTTTTTTGGCATTCTGGGTAAATGTCAAGGCAGCCATTTTGGATTTTCCGTCCTAAAATCTTGTCTGTAAAGTCTTGTCTACGCGTTTTCAGGTGAACCGTTTGGTAGATCAATTTCAAATTTTCAGAGATGATTCTTAGTATGAAAATGTAGAACTGATTAGTTTTTTGGCATTCTGGGCAAATGTCAAGGCAGCCATTTTGGATTTTCTGTCCTAAAATCTTGTCTGTAAAGTCTTGTCTATGCATTTCCAGGTGAACCGTTCTGTAAATCAATTTCAAATTTTTAGGGATGATTCTTAGTATGAAAATCTAGATCTGATTGGTTTTTTGGCATTCTGGATAAATGTCAAGGCAGCCATTTTGGATTTTCCGTCTTAAAATCTTGCCTGTAAAGTCTTGTTTACGCGTTTTTAGGTGAACCGTTTGGTAGATCAATTTCAAATTTTTAGGGATGATTCTTAGTGTGAAAATCTACATCTGATTAGTTTTTTGACATTCTGTGTAAATGTCATGGCAGCCATTTTGGATTTTCTGTCCTAAAATCTTGTCTGTAAAGTCTTGTCTACGCGTTTTCAGGTGAACCATTTGGTAGATCAATGTCATATTTTCAGGGATGATTCTTAGTATGAAAATCTAGGAACAGATTAGTTTTTTGACATTCTGGGTAAATGTCAAGGCAGCCATTTTGGATTTTCCATCCTAAAATCTTGTCTTGTAAAGTCTTGTTTACATGTTTTCTAGTTAACTGTGTGACGGATCAATTAAAATTGTGTTGGTAAAGTCTTGTCTACTCATTTTCAGGATAACCATTTGATGGGATCACCCATTGGTGGGGACATTTTGTACACATTTGTGTTCTTGTTTACAGTTTATAGAAGGCGTGAATACAGCCATGTTCAAATTATTAATGTTCGAATTAATGAGTTCCTAAATATGGTCTGTTACTATAGTATTTTCTTGGTTAAAATAATATTATGTAAAATGAGAAAACATTGAATATCTGCATCTATTTATTCATTTTTTGGAGAAGATTTTTTTTTGAATTTCTTAAATAGTTTATTGCTATTTCATAATCATTTTACAATACAGTACATCATATTATTTTTACAATATACAATAGTGTTTTCTTTACAATTTTCTCATAGCTATTTCACTCTTGAGCAAACATATGATATTTGGATACTTTCTTTATTTATATTTACTTACACAAAGCTTAGCTAATGACAATTAACCTGTATTCTTTGAAGAAGATATGCTTTAAGGGATTATCACCCAGTTGACAACTCCCAATTGAAAAAATAACCTGAAGAGAGCACTGTTGATCCATTGTTTATATATAATGAAACCTGTATATCTGAACATCTAATCTGAATGTGTCTAAATATGAACATTTTTCTTGGTTTCTTTGTATATCTCCCATTTAATGTGAACACTTGCTAATCTGAACACAACCCCCCCCCCCCACCCCATTCCTGCATTGTATAATAGACAGAAAGGGGGGAAGACAGTTGCAATACTTACTAGGAAACACATTATAATCAATGTAATGTTTATTTTCAGCCACTGAGATCATGGAAGAAGGGAAGAATGCAATAGAGTCTCCTACCAGCCCTAACATACCGGATCTTGGTCCTGAGGGATACCTGCTAGGTATATATCAGTTCTATATATTTTTCCAAATTAACATCTGCATACCATTTCATGTTAGAACAAGATTTATGATTATATTATTGCCGTGAATTCTTTTCAAGCACGAATTGATACACTTGTAAAATGCAAAAATATTAAGCGGAAAGAAACAAACGTACACGTCCATGAAAATTGCTCACTCTATGCAGTGTTTTTTTTCAGTTAAAGCGTATTAGATGTTTGATCGTATACCAATGATTCAAACAACTTTATTTGATAACACGACATACTTTCAAAAGTATAAATAAGTTTACTTGTATACGTACACTCTTCCTACATGTATTTATTGTCTTGTATTTCTATTGTAGAGGAGAATGAAGAGAGATCTATGATTGAACCCTACTCTAGGGAGAATGGGAAAGTCCAAGAGTTGATAAAGGTGAGTTATGGGTAACGTTTTTTGGACCACAATCAAAGATGACCGAAGATATAACCCTCAAAAGAATTTAATTGGTTCCTTTAAGCATCCTCAACCTTCTTCATGATATTAACATCTTCAGTTTATCTTTGTTCTTCCTGTGAGTTATGAGTTGATGCAGAATTATCAATACTACTTTGGGGACAGGGTCACCCTAACATACATCAATATATCTCAATATATGTTTTTTACAAATGGAGCATGTAACCATCTTCCCCATGTAAATCCCAATAAATTCTGGATGTAACTAGTAAACATTACCCAGGAATGAAAATAAGTTGAATTCAAATATGTAGTGCTCAACTTGGCTGGGTTCAAGCCATTTCTCCATTAGTTTTCAATTATTTATTTCTATTGAAAATGTTTCAGGTATTATATAACATTTCCCTAGCAAAGTATATTGCTAATCACTTCATGCTAAATCCATTTGTCCGGAAAATTAACAAAAATACAATAAAAACAAATATGGCATGACATATTATTGGTTATGAATTATTGCACAACAAATAAAAGTTTAAATTATAAAAGGTGCATAAGATCAATGATTGATAAAATATTTACCCTGCGCTCAGAGTGTAGTCATAAACTACCCTCTGCCTAGTATAGACTATATTACAGTTAAGCAGCCCCGCCTTAAAGATTGGTGCCTGTGACAGCCCGGGTAATAAATCATTCCAAATCTACCACACTGACCCTTACTCAACCAGTCAGCGAAGTGGAAGGAACACGTGCTAAATACGTATGCGGTGATGCCATAGGAAATGACTATATAGAAAGTCGTCTGTATTTCGACGACAAATTCTGATTTGCTCGGTGAGATCAGAGATTTATTGCAAACTGAAAGAGTGAAGACGAAGCTCTCTTTTAAGAAGTGAAGTCGAACGAATGCAAAGGGTATAAAATATTGCTTATATTTATAAACTTCTGTTTCAGATGTTGTTGGACTGGATAAATGATGAGGTAGCTGAGCATAGGATTATTGTGAAAAATATTGAAGAAGATCTCTTTGATGGCCAAGTCCTACAGAAACTTATAGGTAAATATCTGTGATATTTCACTGAGATATATCTTTTTCAGTAAAGCATGTCAAGTCTGAATGTCTTTCGGACCATTTAAAAGTGTTATGCGTTCAATTATAAATGTATTGTTTGGCATGCATTGTGAATCTATGCAGTTATTCCTCAGTCCATCTGTCGATCAATGATTAATGCTCATACTAATTTTAGGGCGTCCATACTGTTAATTTACAAATTTGGTCCCTGTTCCTACTTTGGCCACATTTTAGAGAAATAAGCTTTGTTGTCATCAAAATATCATAAAAATTAGTAGCAAAGAATCATCGAATGGTGCCATTTTCATGTGGACTCATATTTTTATAGTCTCCAACTTTTTTGTCTGTTTGGTGTTTGCCAGTCAGCGTCAGTAACAAATGGCAGATTTGACATTTTGCATGTATTGTTAATAACTTGTTTTAAGTAGGAAGAATAATTTTGAATTCCCCTTGTAGAGTTATGTCATCCCTATTTATCACTCTGACTGATTTCTCATTTCCTGCTCTCTATTTGTTACCTCATATAGTTGTCTTATTTATGGGCCAGACAATCTTTATGAGACTGCAATATAAATTTTACTCATCTTAGATCTATTTTGACAAATTGCTCGATATTAAAATCTCATCCTAGAGAGAGAGATTTCTCAAGGCCAACATAACAGTTATCATGTATAAATGTCATCTCATGCAAAAGCAAGTTAGCTTCGTTTTGAATTAGCCCCCCCCCCCAAAAAAAAGTTACTGGGGGTTTACCTTCTCTCCTGAAGTAAATTTTTTTTATTAAGTGAAACATCTGTTGATTGGTTGACTTGGTTGACTTGTTCAATGTATGATACCAAGAGCCTGTTTTTACTTCAGAAAAACTTGCCAAGATCAAAATTGAAGTCCCCGAAGTGTCACAGTCAGAGGTAGGGCAGAAACAGAAATTACGTATCATTCTCGATGTTGCCAACAGGATCCTCAATCTCCCACCATCTTGGAACCATCAAAAATGGAGTGTTGACAGTAAGTTTCTTGTTATTAAGTATAGTAAAACCTTTTTTTGATGAGAAAAATGTTCAGTGCTGATAGTTGTTCAATACAGAAAAGGCAATTCAGTGCGCGAAATAGACGTCCGACATCGGCCATTGGCCTGACAAAATTATAGATGGCTTGTTTTGATAAAAACACCCAGACATTTTGGCCTGCTAGACATTTGTGGCATTCGTTAGATTGCCCATGAATAGAACTTACATATCAGACCGGAAATCCTCCGAATTCCTTGCGTTTTCGGCTTATTTCATGACTTTTGTTGAAGATTGAAAAACATTTCAAAATATTTTTGTTTGGTACCGAAGCACAAGATATAACGTGACTTTCGATTGGCTGTTGTTGTTTGTTGAAATTACGGTGATTTTGATTGGCTATGAATGACTCATTTCTTAATTGTCGTTCGCAAATCGAGTGCATTATCAGTATGCCGGATGTAGGAAAGAAATTGAAAAATCGAGCCGGCATCTAAGTCGAAAAAGTCGGCAGTTTGGAAGTATTTTGGGACTTCGATATCACAAGGTAAACGAATTGGTGATAGTACACCATGCAGACTATGTGAAATGCCGATCACATTCGCGGCAGATGCTTTATATTTGATTTAATTGACGTATTTCTGAATGTGATTTTGAAAAGTGAAAGTGAAACTGTCACCATCAGACGATTGTATCATTTTTAGTGTTCTGTCTGTCCCGTCCCGTCCCGAAAGTACCGTATCCCGAGACCATTTGTACCGATCCAAACCGTACCGAATTTTTTTGACCGTGACACCAATAATATATACCTTGAATTTTAGTGGAGTCTGTGTACATAATATGTGTTTTTGAATACCTTGAAGCTTCTGATTTCTGAGCAATTCTAAACCGACCAAAATCAGTACAATTTAGTTTGATCAATATGTACATGTTCCTCATGTTTTTGCAAGGTGAATCTAGGGGGGGGATCAACACACTCAGGCTGTTGGTTAAGTCATCAAGTACAGTATAGTGAATGATACATGACATGCAATATGCAATTAGTTTTATCTTTGTTAATATTGTACTAAACTAAATCTCAATTTAGAGTGGTTGTGGAGAAATATGGTAAGTGAAATTTTTGGCCAGAGAAGGAAGAAACAGCCTGCCAAAAAATGGCCTGAGAAAAAATGATATGGCTTGTTAAAATCTGGCAGGCCTGCCAAAATGTCTAGGTTAAAAAAATCCTTATTTCATGCACTGCAATTTATACAGAAGTCGGTAGAGTATTTGCTGTAGAAGGGTGCTCACTAGAGAGTGGTGTTCACTAAGACAGGTTTTACTGTATATCTTTTAAATAGCACTTTTCTTAAATTTTCTCGGGATATGCAACTTCAAATTGTATGATGTATTATCCCACATTTTATGACAGTGTCAATATCACTTAGGCATCATAGACATATTTAAACTGGAAATGAATGTGTGATTTACAATTCACACATAGCTAGGCAAGGTGTGTCTGATTCCAGCCAATCCGAACACAGTATTTCACATGACAGCAGTGCATGAAATAATCGATAAGACACTCAAGGTCACTAGTTAAACAGTTGTCATGGTGATGAATGGACTTTTCACATTGGATTTTATGACTTGCCAACTTGACCCTTGCAAAAAGATTCATTGAAAATGTGTTATTTTAGTGATTTCATTTTGTAGAAAATATTTTGCAATGTGTGAAAAGAATTTAAGCCCAAGACTCGATGCATTGTAGCCGCTTCATTCCACTCAGGCATTGTTTCCTAAAGTTTGCATTCCTGCTGCACAGTCATGCAAAGATTTGGAAACAACACCTTCATGGTATGATTCAGCAAACAATGCAGTGAGTCCAGGCCTTAAGTCCTTAAATTACAGTCATTAAATTGAATTCAAGTGTTCATGTTTGCCACTTGTCATTGACATACAAACTCTGGCTGTAGTCCTGTTATGTTTGTATTTTCTTCAACCCCCATATAAGGTTTAAACACTCTGGCTTATTTTTTAGTCCTACCAAATGTTATCAAAATGCGATATGTGAACTTTTTCACAAAAATTGATCTAAAGGACTTTTTGTTCATGTTTGTGTTTTCCAAAGTTTTTCAAGTAGGCCTTGCATGATTGTAGTTAATTAAAAGATGTCACTCTGAACAATTTGTCTATTTCAGGCATTCACTCCAAGAATTTAGTGGCAATCCTCCACTTGTGTGTTGCATTGGCGAGACATTTCCGTGCACCAATCAGAATGCCAGAAAATGTGATGGTCCAAGTGGTTGTTGTTCAGGTAAAAATAGATTAAAATAGGATTGAAATTATAAGTTAATTCCTTATTGAAATTAAAAGTTAATTCCTTATTGAGTAACATTACAATGTATGAATAGTATCACTATAATAAAGTAACAAGATAGTGCTATCTAAGTCTATTCTGATATTTCTTTTATTTAAATTGCATTTCAGAAAAGAGATGGCCTATTGCAGACCAGGCGGGTAGCTGAAGAAATCACAACTACGAACGAGTAAGATTGACTTTAAAAAATAAAGTGAGATAGAGAAAACATTTTTGGCATCTAAAAATCGGAAAAGGCACAAAGTTTTTTCGATTGCCATAATATCTGTGATGTATGGCTGAGAATTCAAGCAAGTTCATGTTCTGATCAATGTGAATGGTGTGTATCCTAATGCTAAAGTGTTATGTAATTTTAAGCATAATTGTATCATTATATTTAATGAGTTGAAACCTTTTCTGACACGGAAGATTAAGAAAAGAAAATTTTGCTAAATATTGTTGTTTTTTTATTTCAGTGATATTGGTGCTCGATTTGGTGAGTTTATAAATTCATATTTTTTAAAATTTAAAAGTTGACTTTGTTTTAATTGTGGAAATTATTACTCTTTTTCTTTTTGTATATTGGCTCAAATGAGGAAATTGTGTGTCATTATAGATTCGACTAAATGTATTTTACACAAACTAATGTATTGTTCAATGTAAATTGGCAAGCCGAGTGACAGTTTAGGATTTGAAACATTTTGAATGTTCCCATTTACAAATGTTAAATGATCATTTTGTTTGCAATCTTCAATGAAACATGCATACTAAAACAGGTTTTACTGCAGTACGATGAATATTTTCTTGCCTGATTATTTTCAGTAAAAACCAGTGTTTAGTGAACACCCTTTTCACAGGGAACCACCAGAATGTGGTCACTTGATAGTGGTGTTCACTAAGATATGTTCTACTGTATCAGGAATATTTTGTTTTCAGAGAGAGATGCTTTCGACACACTCTTTGATCATGCTCCTGATAAGTTGAATCTTGTCAAAAAGGTGAGGAAGACATCAATCTTACTTGCATGGTGAATCACTTAAGGATTTCTGAGCATAATAGTAAAAATTGAATTTTAACCAGATGTATATTTTATTTTCCTATACATGCTGAAAAAATCCAGGTCCTGTTTTAACTTAACTGACTCTGGCTGGTGCTAATGTCACACCATGTGCACTTGAAATTTAATATATTTTACAAGAGAAAACAACATAAAGGGCAAATTATCCAAAACTTTGTCAGTTGTTTGTATGTTATTTCATTGATGTAAAAACGTATTCCTTAGTACCTACTTTAGAGGTGTTTGTCTCTTGTTATAATAAAATTAATTTGTTATATATTTCAGTCCCTGATCACATTTGTTAACAAACATCTAAACAAGATCAACCTAGAAGTTACAGATCTGGACAGTCAGGTGAGAGTATAACTTTATTATTTTATTGTTACATATCTTCCCTTTGCTCTATCATTATTATCTGGATATTCTGATGGCCATTCCCTTTCTTTCTGAATGAGAAATGAAAGTCAATGGTTTAGAACTTTTTAGATATTTTTTTAGATAATAATTGTTGATGTATCCTGATACTGCCCACTTTGTAACCATATCAAGCATTAATAACCTGTTGTTCTTCAAAAGTAATTATGCAAGTAATGCAAGTAACATTGATTTAGGAATATGAAACTTTAGTGTTAAATACAGTCTAAGAAGGAAGAGGGCTAAATTATTTTATTGTTGGCTTCGTCTCATTTCATATGAGTATTTACAATATCACAAGACTATAGAGAAAATATCCTACTTATTCTACATTTTATAGAATGTCATAAACATGAAAGTAAAAACCTACATGCATGTACAACTTCTCTTACAGTTTGCCGATGGTGTTTATTTGGTGCTATTGATGGGACTACTAGAGGGATATTTCACCCCACTCTACAGCTTTCATCTTACTCCTGAGACCTTTGACCACAAGGTGAGAATGAGAAAATTTAAGATTCAGATTGGGCACCATTTTTAGACAGTTAAAACTTTAATATACATGTAAACCTAGAGGATCACACAGTGAAATAAACCCCAAGTTCAAGCTGTTGTATATTCAACCATGATTATGATAGCTTGTCAGGCATTAAGTTCAGTAGGTAACATACTGAGATCACATGGAGGATTTTCATGCAGATACAAGATCATGCCTCTTTACATTTTATTTCCTAATTCTTTGAAATACCTCTATATTAATGTTTAATATATTATATAAATCCAATGTTGTTTCAATGAACATATAAAACTCAATTGTATAACAAACCAAATGCTTTTAGGAGTAAGTGACTTAAGTCTAACTTAATACTTTTATTTCTTAATGTCAGGTTCACAATGTTGTGTTTGCCTTTGAACTCATGCAAGATGCTGGACTGCCCAAGCCTAAAGCCAGACCTGAGGGTAAGTATAAGTAACTTTAAAAATACATGCACAGTAAAACCTGTAGTGGAACACCTCTGCTACCCATGTACTTTATTTAAAAGACCTCAATAAGTGGAATATCTTCCCAGTGAAATACCCAGGTTCCACTTACACAGGTTTTACTTCACTTAAAATGCCAAGCAATGATAAATTCATTACAATTTCAATTCAATTCAATTTATTCAATTCAAAATTCCATCATACAATATTTCATGTATAACATGAAATAGACACTCCAGTGGGTGTATATATAAGTCATAATTTTTAATAGTAATGGTTTAGTTTCATTCGGAAATAGTTGAATCTGCGTAATCATTTTCTAGAAAAAGACCCATGTATGCTTGACATCGTACACATTGATTGTTCACCTAATATATTTGTTTTGATTCCAGATGTGGTGAACCTTGACCTTAAATCTACTCTAAGAGTTCTCTATAACCTCTTTACCAAATACAAAGGTGTCAGCTAATCTATTCACATACAAATTATCAAAGTGGGTCAGGTTTACTGTGGTATGGCAGGAGAGATATTTTTCCCCACAAGATGGAACATAAAGGAGCATGCCATATTTATTGACCTGTTCTTGACTTAGTTAAGAAAAATCGGTCGGTCGACTTGAGGAGGATGTAACAACAGTTACCATAGTTACTTGTCACCTGACCCACTTCTAAAAATACCAAGGTGGCTGATTATATAAGTCGCATTCTCCAACTGCATTAATAATGTTATTCTCCAAAGCTGGAACAACTGGAAGATGTATTTTGGAGAATGACATGCAATTCAGCAGAAATGTGGCTGAATCTATTTTCTTTGATTCATATTAAGTTTTTTGCATTTTTGCAAACCCGTATTTTCATTGAATCATTATTCGACCACCGTGGTATTTTAATTGCGAGGAGATGAGTGCTATATCTTGATACATGAATAGTCTAAAGTAAACACTGTGGAGAAAACTATGCAATCTCATTATGAAATGTGAAATATATCAGGGAACACAAGATACAAGTGCAAAACGAACATTTTACCTGCCTGTCCTCGATGCTCTTCCCAGGATGTTTCTCTCAAAAATCAATCTGGTGCAATTTGAATTTGAAATTGTTGCGTGTCCACTTGCTTTAAAGCTGGGGAGTTCATTGCTCACTTTGTGCTAGGGTGCTTTTCATATGTACCCCAGAAATAGAAATTAAACTTCCCTGTCTACCCATCCTTTCATCATTCATTGTATATTTTCTTGATTATGTATCATCACAGGCTGGTATCGAAATATTTGTCCGCTGTGACGGAGCATGCTATTTTTCATAAAAACATTAAGAATACTTCACGATTTATTTTTTAACGCATATGTTTCGTTATACCATACAAAATTACTTACTCTATGCAATGGATATATCATTTGCGGGTAACTTTCACTTCTGTTTGAAGTCCAATTACGCTGGGAAGAAAAGCTATTGAAAATGGCACCGGAGTATCATACTTCAAAATGTACCATTTCTTGTTTAACTTTCTAATGGCAGATAAAGTGACACGATAATATTTACACATGGTTTCAGTATAACTATGAAGGTATAAATGAGATGTTGATGTATTTGGTCTTTTTAATTCTTTTATAAAAAATAATGTTTAATTTTTTTGTCCGCTGTGACGGAGCAGTTGCAAATATGAACTGTGAAAATGCTCCGCCACAGCGGACAAAAAATATTAATATTATTTTTTATAAAATAATTAAAAAGACCCAATGCATTAATATCTCATTAATACATTCAGAGTTATGCTGAAAACATATGTTAATATTATCGTGTCACTATATCATGCCATTAAAAAGTTAAAAAATAAATGGTACATTTTAGAGTTTGATACTCTGGCGCCGTTTTCAATAGATTTTACTCCTAGCGTTATTGGACTTCAAACAGAAGTGAAGGTTACACGCAAATGATATTTCCATTGCATGGAGTAAGTAATTATCTTTGATATAACGAAACATATGAGTTAAAAAATAAATCGTGAAGCATTCTTAGTGTTTTTATTAAAAATAGCATGCTCCGTCACAGCGGACAAATCTTTCGATACCAGCCTGTGATCATGTGAATTTAAAAATACATGTACTACGTATGGTACCTTTTTTAAATCGACATATGAATTGAATAGTGACATTTATTATCACATGTATATAGTTAATATATGCTGCTTTTGTAAAGTGAATATCACCCAAGCAAAAAAACAGTTCAATACCAAATACGGTGTCTTTTTCCAAGAAAGAAATATCAGTGTGTCATTTTCTACGAAACTAATTTCATTGGAAAAGGGTTCAAAAAGTTTGTAGAAAAACAACGAGAGGTTGGTAATGTTACTTCAAAGTTTGATAAAAAATATGGGGAGATACTCTTAGACACACTGAAATTAGTTTTCGTAAACATTGCTCCTACTAGGGTGTATATGGTGCCTTTCTTTAAATGTGTACACAATGTATATTATATTTATTTGTATTTAGCCATGTATTGTATTCAACTATAATACTATAGTGTGATATTTATGAATTGTATATCTCTTTGTATCTCTGTTTTTAGTAGAAGCATAAGACTGATAAAATCCCCTTACTAACTATGTACAAATGCGTCAGACTTATATTTTGCTTGAATTAAATAAAAACTTTTTACAAATTGATTATTAATATTAATTTAATATTTTAAATGGCGTAGATTATTATAAGATTCCATGTTGAAATGCTGATATCAAACTATTAAATAATTATTTGTTTCAAATTATCAAAATTAAATAATAAAACTGTCACAATACTTTAAGTAATTTGTAGTGTAGGCAATATTTAGTCGAGCATGTTACTTTTTCAAATTGTAATGTTATGTTTGAAGTTTTCCAAAATATGGTACAATTTTTTTGAATTAGAACTTGCTATAGCTTAGTCATATAAAACTGCTGAATGAACTCTTATATCTAGTGACAACACTTGCTAGGAGTTTATATACCTACAGAAATATAAGTGTTTATTAGTCTTATGCTAATAGTAACTAGGTCAGCCTGTAGGGCTGTAGAACTATATTTTATATACCTGTAGATCAATAATATATTGTGCAATAAATAAATAATATTATGAATATATATGCAAATGTGTGTTTATTTGGTTTAGTTTTAGTACTTCTGCTTTACAATTTGGTAAAAAGATGGCAGCCTTGTTCAGAAGGATAGCTAAAATAATAGTTGTTGTAAAGGTTTAAATTTCCGTCTGCATATTAAGAGAGGTTCCCTTGAATTTTTAATAGAGCCAATTCCTCTAAATCCACTTGCCTTTTCTGAATGTAGAAAACAGTGTCATTTTATCAGAGGCTTTCAATTGTTGAAAGCCCATGGTTCTATCAATATTTCATATTTTTGTCCAAGTAAGGTTTTTACATTTTGGTCTAAAAATTCACACAGGACAATGTATGTATCAAATTTTTTCACTTTTGAATAATAAAATTATTAATTGATATCAATTAGGCCTAAGTCATCATTATTAGTGTCTTAAGCCAAACGCTTCTTGCTCAGTGATCCAGGGTTCATAATATCCAGGCTAGGTCTAGTTGGTCGGGAGAACCGTTTGTTTATCATCTGTAAAGATATATTTAGAACCATGGAAGCTGTGCTGTAACACGTCTTTATCCATTTCAACACAGTAGGAGAACTTGCAGTTTTTGGCTGTTGGCCCTGGCATTATATTCATTTCAGTTCAGCATGAGTCATTTCCTTATCATTTCCTGTATTATCATAAAATATCCAATGATATCATGCTCCAAATCCAGAAAGTCATAACAAAAACAAAATGGATTGAAAGTTGCTGAATTTTCAATTCTTCAAAAAGTAAACAATGAAAGAAGAATTTATGAAATGTCAGTAATTTTATTGCAATGTCAAATATGCATTTTGAATTGTGACCAAAATGTTTGAAAATTGACATACAATGATATTCTTATCATTTAGGGAGATAGCATTGCTAAATATGATGCTTTTTATGATGCTTCATGTAATTTTGATGCATGATATGACTTCTGTTGCATCCTTGAACATTCAAGTTGCAGAGAGCATCTGCAAAAATCTGGGGTACCTGCATTCAAGGTATGGATGAATTTGTGCTTGTAAACTTTCCAGAAGTTTTTAGAAGTAAAATATCTAATTCATTTCAGTGTTAATGTTCAATATTGTAAATTGGGGATTCTAATGTTAATACATTCCATATAATGAACATAGAAAAGATGAAATAAGAAGCTCATTACAAGTAAAATCTGTATTAAACTAGAAGAAGTTAAACCATTTTCTCCCAACATTGAACTAGTTCCACCCCTGCGCAGTGCAGGTGCGCAGAAGCCCAAAACGATCCACTAAATTCTTTGTGTCATTCCGCGCATACCAAAGCACAAAACTTCAAGTCGGAAAGTCGTATTTAACTACTTCAAATCCATCCAAAAAGTGCATCAAGTTGTAGACAGGTAAGTTATCTTTACTCATACGAAATTTCAGGTCGATTAGTGTGTGATAAGGGGACAAAAAGAGTAACGGAATGATCGAAATGTCCAAAAGTTTTCGAATCCCAGGAATGCCTGACATACTTCAAGGCTTCACTTCCGGTTTACAAAAACATAAAATTCAACTTTTCAACTCGCTCTTGCTCTCTTTATCAAGCACTAGTCTTGTGTGATATACTAGGTTAATGTTAAAATATGTACAAATGAACATTTGATGCAGCAATGGATAGTTTTTACCATCTTCGTTTGGCACAGCGAGGGAATATTTCACAACAATTTTGGAAGTTTCAAAACAATTTCAAACTTCAAATCAAGTGATAGGCATATTTGGAAACTTCCATAGAATGACTATACTGGATTGTTTACATTGGCTTAGTGCTGATTTTGTCTTTGGAATAGAATCAAGTGACAGAAACAAGGAATGTCAACTCAGAATCTAGAACAGTTCGCCTTGAAATCACAACAATATTATGTTGGTTTTCGTGGTTCTAAATCTGCTGTTGAACTTATGCATATTCAAATGTATGACTCATCCCACCTAAAGTCAACAGTCTGACTTTTATGACTTAGCTCACCTTTTTAGACTGGGGGAATGAACACTTCTTTGATTCACCCACTCGTATCTTTAGTACCTCATAGACTGAAAAGAAGCGTGGAGATGATAGATACATGTAGTTCATTATTGGCATCTGCTTGTCAAATATAAGGTGTTTACTTGTAAATTGGCATGATCTACCTACGCTCTTGACCTATGTAACAGGAAAGGTTGGGCTTGTAGAAAGATACAAAATGGATCAAGGAGACATAAATGTAACGCCCAAATCAGTGCCTTTCTGACATCAAACAGTTTAAATACATTAAGATACCTAATAAATAAAGTATACAGGCACGAAGAACACATTTAAACTTAAACTTATTTAAACTTACAGAGAGAAATATGATGAACATTTTGAAATTTTATCATGGGGTATACTGCGTAACACAGTACCTAACATCTCATACACATAAGGTCTTTGACCTGATTGATCTAACGCTTTATATCACATAGACAGGTGTATAGTCTCAGGCTACCTTCTCTAGCTACTCTGAATTTCAATTAATTTCAGAACAGCTTCTCAATGGGTTTTTAGTATTCA